TTATAAATGACATCATCTTCTGATGGTGTGCCCACTTCTCCCTTGGCAATAATTCTGGTTCTAACTTTCTGCTTGCCCAACAGAAAGAAAAGTCTGACTTTGAAAAGATGAAGAAGTACATTTCTGCAGAAGAACTAAGTGCCATGATGAATCTTCAATCAACAAGTGAACGCCAGAAACAACTTGAGCAGATATACGAAGAAGTTGAGACAAGCTATCTAAAAACCATTGAAAGACTTGCTGCCAGTTGAATCTCAAGTTATGATGAGGGCAGTCAATGTAAAATCTCAAGCAAGAAAGTCCTTTAACTTGATCTCAGAACATCCTACCAATGTAGTTCTTTGATATGACCATAGACTATGATATGACAAACCTTTAGATAGCCAAATAGAAGAGCATAAAATATTGTAACTGATGAGYAGAGCTCAAGTTTGACTGTTCAAAGAATCTTTTAGCATAGAAAAATCCCTGTTCACACAAAAAAACTGAATTTTGACCAGATCATCTTTTTGGCCTTGTTTATTGACAAGACTATTTACTACAACAAAAATGGGATTGCTGATATTTTGGATACAGAGAAAAGGATCCCAATATTGATTTGATCACAAATACATTGTACTCCACAAATGGTTTGAGATATTCTAAGAAATCTATTTGAGGGTGTTTGATGGAGATTTTCTGTTTTTATGGTAAAAATATCATTGTTATCCAAAACAATCCAATCAAACTAAGATTTTTGTCATGAATAATTTCAGACATCTATTGGAGCTATAAATATTAAGTGAATCCTATTTTGATTTTGGCATTTGTTTTTTTACTTCCTTGTGTAATATAAATATCCTAATATTCTTAAAGATGTACATTCCTTAAAATATTAAGAAATGTGGCCCTATTAAATTGATATTAAATATATTTTACAACACTGACCTTATCTAAAAAAATTATTTCAGTGAAAAAGGAATTAGCATAATTTAGTASTATAAAACTAAACTAATAAAAGTCCTGCCAACAATCCTTATACAAATGTTTACCAAATTCCATCTCAGCATTATAGTACTTTGTTTTTCTATACCATTCATCAATGCTATATTTCTTTAGGGCAAAGTAGAACCTCTTCCAGTAGACTAGAGACATGTCTCTTATATTTCTAATTCCTCGGTTAAAACTCCTTGCTTCATCTCTGCTTGGTCTGCACTTGCTTTTCCATGGCTTGTCTGGAGGACAGCAAACAAAATGAAAAGCTTTCATTGGGTAGTGGATAATCCTGCGCACATTATAGGCATAAGGAAGTTGTTTCCATTTCCCATGAAATGCATAATGAGAATATAAAAGACGTTGGTCATCAGGACATGTCCCTTGCTTAGATTGAGAAAACCAAATGTCCATAATAGCTTTATGGTCTTCTAAYGAAGGCTTGAATACTATAAGTCCTGCATTAAAACATGGGTCSACTGTACCAGGTCTGTTACAGTAAGCTGCAGCAAAATCAGCCTTGACCTCAAAAAGCTCATCAATGTTACTTAGAGGCATAAAGTCTGGATCAACATAGACAATCTTACTGTACTGAGTGTATTTCCATGCATGAAACCTTGTATGAGTTCCTAAAAATGAACAAGAATAACAATTGTTGACATTGTTAATGGGAGTGACTTTCACTGCAAAAATACAATTAAATACAATTTGTGTTAATGGTGGATCAAGCTGTGGTCCTTGGAAGGTTTAAGATTCCATTATGCTTTTTTTACCTTATACATTTTGGAAAACATTGTTATARGACAAAAAGTAGTTAGCTATGTGATAACAGGTGTGACGAGAAGACACCCGATCMTTCTTCCAGAGTGCAATCTAAGATTCTTTAAAATATTACCTTTTATTCCTCTGCCTGATGGAGTTTGTCCTAATTGCTTTTCCATCCATTTGCAATCCATGGCTGTAACATCCATGATCTGCCAACCTACCTAAAATACAAAATATTATATAACTTTTATGCACTTTATGGAATGGAACACGTAACTAGATAATGTCGTGGTTGTGGTCTTACTACCATGTATGAGAGAATTCCACTGTGAAGGCTTCCTGTAAACATAGTAAGTCAAACAATACAACAAGCTTGATATTCACTGGAATAAATAGTAAGGAGAGATTGTTTCTAAGATCAACCTTTATGCAAAGAAGTATAAAAACTGTACCTTAATCAAAGTTTCTCTAGCAGGTTGACTCACATCATGGGAAACAAGAACAAGCATGTTCTTAATGCAAGAAAGAGATTGCAGAGAATAGCCAAGTACTACTGCTGGGATGGCATACTCATCATTGACTAAAGCTGTGAGCCATAAGTAGTCTCTTCTTGACCCTCCCCTTTCTTCACAGATATTTTCCATGAATTGAAGTTGTAACTGAAAATGATTCCAATGCATGTCCGCAGTAATGCAGAAATGATTTTCTGTTCTTTCATTGTCACTTGCTATAAGATTAATTATGAGTTTAACATAGCTTGAATAATAGATTATCTTCTGACGGTTTGTGTACAGGTATACAAGACCAGCAAATGTAGTGATGAGTATGATGACTAATTTCATTGTATCTTGTAATTATCTACAAAACAAAAAAGAAAAAACATGGTAATACATATAGATGGAATTGTCAATGGAAGTGGTATAATACTTTGGTTCCTGGCCTTCAGTACATGGCAGAGGACAGATTATGTAATTCAAGAGAAACAAAAGTTTAAAATAAAGAAACCTAACTGGAGTACAGTAGATTCCTGTTCACATAGAGGCCCATACTTATGAATGACTTTTCTTGACACCTGCTTCCATCTTACTTATTAAAAAAATGTAGGGAGAGGAGAATAAAAGAAAAGCAACCAAAAAAAGCAATAATGGTTTTGCTCCACATGCAATTATATTAATTAATATATTTATATTCACATCATAGGAAGTAAGCTTAAGCTAATTTTTAGTATTCGACCTCATGGGATATCAGCTCGTAGTCCACTCGCCCTATCGAGATCTACTTAAGTTAAGTTAACTTAAGCTTAATTAAGACTTTTATCTTAATTGTTAAAAAGTCGTGTATTTTGGAGACCGAGACACTTTCTCCGCAGACACATGTCCCATAAGGAAACATATAATATCGAAATGGATAGAAAACAAAACATAATAAACAAAAGCAACACAATTATCCAACATACCTATTTGTGTTTCACCACACTGTACTCCATAAGGTGGTTCTCCAAAATCCCATCATTCATTGCAACGGTATTCCACAGGAAGCCCACAAACCAGATCAGATCGCGGGCTCAAATGCAATGCACGTGGTCCAAGATGGCCGAAAAACAAGGAARGGAAGGAAGAGAAACTTTAGCATTAGACTCRGAAAAACAGAAAGAATTTGAAGAGAAGGTTGGAAAAATTAAACCTAAGGTAACAAATTCTCCCTTGTAAATGTTAAAATGTCAATAGTATATGTCTTAGTCAGAATTATTTAAGCTTTAATATGGTTCAATTTCTACTTTTCACAATGGCAGGACAAGAGTGAAGAGCTCACACCTGGAGTAATATACTTGGGACATATTCCCCATGGTTTTTATGAAAACGAAATACGTGAGTTCTTTCAGCAGTTTGGGTCAGTAAATCGAGTCAGACTCTCTAGAAGTAAAAAGGTTAGTTAGCTTCTTCAGATTTGTAAATAAACTATTTGTTTGGCTAAACTAAGCTGCGATGCTGTCAGTCAGCCCCTAGTGCACATCAATTTCAGCTTGCTAGTGATGTCTCATATGTTTTCATTCAATTATTTAGACTGCAAGATCAAAAGGATATGCATTTGTCGAGTTCGACTGTGATGAAGTGGCAAAAATTGCAGCAGAAACAATGGATAATTATCTTATGTTTGGAAGAGTATTGAAATGTAAGTTGTTTGACAACATAAAGCTTAGAACATTACATTATAAAGCTTTTTCAACATGATTTTTTTTGTGTAAATTTAGAATTCTTTCAAATAATATTACTACATTGAAGGTATTACCAGAGTCTAATCATACATGATTTTATAATCTATAGGTAAAGTTGTATCACCAGATAAAATCCATCCTAGACTATGGCAAGGCTCAAATAGAAGATTTCGCCATGTGCCAAGGAATGAAAATGAAATTAAAAGACAAAACAAGGTATTTTGAAAATAGTATAGAATTTTTATCACATATCAATGATATCTAATCGAAACCTAAACCATTCCTTGTACAAAGGACAAAACACAAGAGGAATATGAAAAGAATGTCAGTAATTTGCTCAAGAAAGAAAGCAAAAAGAGAAAGAAATTAGAGAAACTTGGTATATCATACAACTTCCCAGGATTTGTAAGTACACCATTGTAAACTACACCCTCTATTGCGTGATTGTATTGATACTCTTGTTGTTATGAATCCCATTTTATATCTAAAGAATGTCTCCAAAAACATTGGAGGAATGTGAGTTATTTTTACAAAGCTGGTTGATTCATGTTCTAAAGACATTTTGATGCTTCTTTCTTTCAGAAAAAGGAGGCAAAAGGAACACAACCTAAGCACAAGAGATTTAAAAGTTCTTAACATTAGAATAATAATATTACTTAATCAACCACTGTACAGCAATATCATGAATTTTGGATTTGAAAACCCCCGTCACTTCATCAATGCATTGATAATGTACTACAGTATATCATTTTACAACCTGTGGTTATGCAAGCAATGTAAAATGTATAAAAAACATTTTTTCATGATATCACTAGATTCAAATTCAGATGGAATAAAAATAACTCAACTATCATAGTTGTCTTGATATATAAATCACAAAATGTTGCCATTTGAGGGGAAAAAACCTTTCACATTTTGTACATCTGGGCTTTTTCAAAGATCTTTTCCATTTTTTGGTAGTTTCCATGTGATGATAGTTGTTCAGAATGATGTTCATGGATCATGCCAGGGTGATACTTAACATATTAAATAGGAGAATCAAAAGACCTTAGTTTGCATATGAATTTTAATATTGATAATTGTTTTTGTATCACAAATCTAAATTAGCAACTTGGGCCAGCATTGGGTTATTTTTGTCTTCTACTTGTGGGCTTCCTATGGCCATTCCTGTGTGTTAGTTTATCCTGTTCAGTGATTTGAAGAGCAATAAGAACATTTTGTTGACTTCACAAAGTGTGTTCTTCTCTTTAAAGTGAACATGGGAAGACAGTGTTGTTTTAATATTGTGAGTATCAGTTCTTTAAGGTCAGTACAGACCAACTACCACGTTCTCTTGTTCATTTCTGTTCACTCTTTAAAGTCACTTTCTGTGGAGTACGAAACTTTGGAAGACACAGACCAAATCTTGTCTCAATGCCAGCATACGTTGCCACAGCAACACGCATCCCTCCAATGTGGTCAGGATTTAGAGAGAGATCAGGGTTTGTGGGTATCATATCTGATTTAGAACTGGTGGTGGAACTGAAATTGGAAGAAAATAAATTATCATGTCTTCATTGCATCCATCACAACATGCCTCAACACTCTTCCTTTCAGCTCTTCTTTGTACTTTTGGGCTTCCTGTCTTCCTCAATATGTTGGTGGGACCAAAGGTCCCTGCTCGGCCAAGAGGATAACAGAGGGATCCCAAAATAAAAAAAAATAAAGAGTTGCTGGCAGACGTGGCTACTTTCATTGCTACAACCATCATGTAAACTTGTACATCATGTGCACAATAAAAATGTCTTCTTACAAGCAGGCTGCTCAAAGCMTGATTAGCATGAATCCATTGTTAACTTCATAAGTTTTTAAAGAGTTGATTAGTGCTAAACAAGCTTTGAACTACCCCCAGTACTACATATTAACCTACCCTCCAAAATTGACGTTAAACAACCTTTGTAGAAGTTCATATGTCAATAGTGTAACACCAAACTGAGGGGATGAACGAATTACACGTGCTATAGAACAAATTAAGAAAGTAAGAGAGAACCAATAACAAACAGCAGAATTCAAGTTATAACATCAATCATAGTGAGATATTTGTTGTGTTCTATGAAAAACTTCTTCCAAGTAACCAAGTGCATGTTTCCTCTTGCTTATATATTTTGCAAGTTCAAATAGTAACTATTAGTTCATTCATTCTTACCACCACCACCCTTCCAAAAGGCACGGCCACCTTCTTCTTTCCAGATTTTAGTAAAGGCATCAAATACACCACGATATGTCTGTTGTCCCCGACGTGCTTTGACCTATCGTAAATGAACCATAAACAGAATAACATTGCATACATTTCATTTTAGGCATACTTGCAACACTGTAGCATTAAAAACACACACAAAGAAAATGAAATATCAATAATATGATAGATCAGTTAAAATTAATAGCTAATGAGAGTGTACCTGCAATCTAGTTTTAATAACGTCTGCTGGAGTAACAAGAAAAGCTGCTGGCACACCTGAAGAGATTTTTGAGAGAGAAATATTTGAATAACATCTGAATGTCTCCCTCAATATCATCAATACTGAAAAGACCTTACCTGCTATCATGGCTGATGCAAACAAACTACCAGCTCCATTATGACCATTTTCATCAGCAAGAGATAATTTCAAGTGAGCATATGCTGGGAAATAAATACTGGAGAATGGAATATCACGCAGAAAACATGCACGTGCACCCTGAAAGTAATGATAACATACACTGAATCAGCTTTAGTTATTGAACAAAAAGAAGAACAATTGGATAAAATGCATCCTAGATTGATTTGATATTATACCTTATAAAGGCCAGTCAATCCAAGTTCCTTGATGCTTGACCAGGCAGTAACTCGTTGGCCAACTTCCCCTGCAACTTGTAAGCGAATTTTGACAATCTCTAGAGGATTAGTGAAAAGCACCTGTGCTCCTCCTCCCTATAATGGAGAACATTCTTGTTTCAGCTTTAGCATCAAATATATTAGCATTGTATATTTTTGATACAGCTAGTTTATAATGTGAATGTCTTTCGACCTTGTACAACTTGATTTCTACATGATCAGAGGAAGCACACATCATGTAAAGAACTGTCACTCATATTTCCTAATCTTAGCCAAAAATATAGAGAGTGTTTTCACAACATCTAATTGTACTTACACATCCACCAGCTATGATTTCATAGGGAAGACTGATAAAACCATCACTATCGCTAAAAAACCCTCGCACCATGTCATTGGTCTGAAAATACAATGATCAATTAAAGTTATCAATTTATTATTATTAACATCTGTGTTGGATCTGAGTGGCTCCTACTGACATTTAATACTAATCTAGATAATATTTAATTTAAGATTAGCATTGAAATGAACTACCGTTAGTTTGATGGCTTTTTCTGGGGATACTCCAACAAGCTGAGGCAAAAGACCTAGGATCAAAAAAAAGTGTCAAAAATCCAATTCAAGGGATAGTATTCTTTTTTTCCAGCTAATCATTCAAATTACATCATGTGAAATACCTCTATAAAATCCTCGTAACCCTTCATTTCTGAAAACTTTCAAAGCACAGTCAAAGCTGTTCTTGTACAGTTTTTCCTCTGCAAGTACAGCACGTTGATTTTGCATTCTTGTTTTGACCAAGTCAATAGGGTATACTGCAGTAGCACCAGTTGCTGTTTAATAAGAAATATATTTATAATCTATCAATATTAGTGAAAGCAGGTTGCTTCAAACTTATTCATGTACATGAAATTTGACTGAGCAGGTCTGTGCTGAGTATATGCGATGACATGCAAAAGTCAGTCATTGAAGAGAAAGATGGTTGTATGCTAAGAAGAATTGATAATCGAAAACTAAGAGGATATATAGGAAAAGGAAATATGGGATGAAGCTGCWTACCTATGTTACAGGAAAGACTTTATTAGTACTTCTTTATAAAAACATCTTTTTAATTATATTATTTTTAAAGAAAGTCCCAGCTAGATTTTCTGGCAAACAACATGACAAATTGGGCTACTGTAAAATAACAGAGTAAATTAATGATTACCTCCAGCAATTGATCCAAGTGCAAATCGATAAACCTGATGCAATCCAGCCCAAAGAAKTGAMACTTGATGTTCYTCTGGTTCTTGCACCATCTACAAAAWTAGAGATTTGATTTATTTTTACAGAACAAAAAAAGGAAAACAAACTGCAACATTCTATCAAATGATAGATTGATTTCTTCAAGCTTGAGAGACTACTGTCTAAGAAGTGCAGCTCATTACCATGCAAATATATGTTACCTCTTCATCATGGCGTTCTGTTGAAAATACTTTAAAGACGTCATGTTTTGGTACTATATGATGGACRTCTGATACTGTTATACGCCTGGAGTAATGATGAAATAAGAGAAGAGATTAATCATCATAATACTAGGTTTAATAGGTCTAGTGCCAATTTTGAAAGTTACTCACAAATTGATGTAATATGATAGTGGAGATGACATGTACATGTACAAGAAAGTTTATTGACTAGTGATACTCACCCTCTTCTGTCAACATCACAAAGATGATATAATATGTCAACTTGCAAAGGAGTAATCTATAAAAGGAAAAGATATGAATGAAAACACTCTGGAACACACACTCTAGCATACACAAGGTTTAGTATTGAATCAATGTACTCTCTAATCTGCCTATATAGATGTACATATATTTTTAGAATCTTTGAATATCAAGAAAATATAATTTTCTGTCAGTAAACTAACCTCAGGATGCGATTTTAGAACAGCACTTAGGAATTCCTCTGTAGCAATAAAGAAAAGTGAGTCAATCAGTGAATTTACAAAAAAAATTAAATCATAATGAAAGAATTTAATACTAATGTAAAGTTTACCTTTTTTAATTTCCTTAAATCTTTTCCCTTTAGCAACCTTTAGGGAAACTTCATGTAGTATCTGAATGTTGTCTAGCATGCTGTTGAAAGCTCTATAATATCCATAGCTAACTCGGTGACGAGCCTCACCACCACCAACCTAAAGCATAAATCACAACAACATGAAAAACTGAAACAGGTGACCTCATTCAACCTTTCTTCATAGTGTATTTGCTGTATCAACCTTGGTGTTTAATGAAATAAAACTGAGCTTTCGACCTTTCAGAACTTGCTAGCAAATTTAACAATGCTAATGWGTAATGCAGTAATCATGACAGTTGTCACCTAAGACTAGCTAGATAGTTATTGCAAAGTTGCTCTTGTAGTACTTACAGTCAATAAATAAGCACGGACATATGGAGTAAGCAGGTGACCTCTTAATGACTTCATGATATCTGCAAACTTTGTTGCTGGAATCTCGTTGTTTTGGGAATGAGATTTGAAAAATGCCTGTCTTTGGTACTCTTGTTCAAAGTCCTGTTTAAACATAATAAATTTTAAACAAGTCAAATCAAAATATCACAAAAAAATGCTGTAATCAAATGGGGAAACAAATTACACACTTTGGCTAAAAATTTGACCTTACCTGGAGAAGATGAGAAAAATCATGGAAAGCCACACAYAATTCTTTTTTTGATCCAAAATAATTAGAAATAAATTCAGTCTCAAAGTTGAATGGGATGTCCACAAAAAACTTGGTCTTTTTAATGACAGTTTCAAATTCACCTGTAAAATGTCAAAATAAAGTAGATTAGTGCCAACCTTATTAATAATAACCTTAGTATTAATAATAATAATTATAGTAGACTTGGAATATTAACAAAAAACAAGGTATTTCAGGTTATTGTACTACGCTTGACTTGCACTTACCAAAAGACACAGAACCTTTACCATCTAAGTCAAATAACTGAAAAATTAATTTGTGATAGCTATCTGGGTCACGCAGAAGTCCCTCAAAGGCCACAAACTCACTGAAGGAAATGAGCCTAAGACAAAAAAGGAAGGGTATATACTATTTCGTTCCATGCAAAATCTTGATTTCAATTTCAATTTCAAGGATTTCAATGTATAACTCATGATAAACAGCAAAATAATTTGTTGTAGTTCACTTCGTAAAGGAGTTTTGCAACTTGATGCTGTGTATTCTTTTATGGATGTGTTATATGCAAATGACTTTGTTATAGTCTTTACAACTGAACAATGGCAATGGGTMCATTGAATGTATATCCAGAGTATACAACATACCCATCTTTAGTTTGGTCGACAACCCCAGCAAGTAGAGACAGCGTGGTTTCATTGAACTCATCAATCTTCTGCATTCCTAAGTAATCCCTGATGAGGTTCTGAGGTGTCATATATTTATGATTTGCTTGTTCCACTGTGGCATACTAGGAAATCAACAATATTAATCWATATTAATTATTAAATTAATAAAAATATGCTTCTAATTCAATACCACTTCTTCAGTTGATAGAAATATATAACTATGTCACGGTGTTTTAGTCTGGAATATGAGGTGTGAAATTATYATTTGTGGTTAAGGGAAGGGTTTTGTACCCGAACCCCCTCSCCATGACTCTGCTTTTCTTTCTCAGACAGGTATTGCTGCAGGTTACAATGTCTCATGCAAACATTTTATATATGCAGTACAGTCACTGATGTGATGTTAATCAGGAAGTAATGAAAAGAAAGATACTGAAGTGCTGAAGTGAAAACCATATGCAAGCTTACGTTGACAAAAATCAAAACAACGCATCCTTATTTACAAAACAAATATTAATTGTATTTCATAYCCTACCTTTATACTTTCATAAATTGACATTATTGAATATAACCGATCGCCCAATATTGAAAGATTACTTGTTACTGATAATCATGAAAGGAAAATGCCAAARCCAAAATTCATCTAGTTTTTATAAGTAWAA